TGCCATAGGAATAGTATTATTTGCAAAGACTTATTCTCATACTTTAAAGAAATTGAACACATAGAAATATATAATCTTAAGAGAATAATCTCACTAAAAGACATCACTAAAACTTAGAATATAATAACATTTTTATCATACATTCACAAAGTTAATAACAAACAAGTGATTCAAATAATATCTATCTAAAATAATAACATTCAATATGAAAGATACATAATACCAACAAATATTTTGTTTACAATAAAAGAAAATCTTGTACTTTATCATATTCTTAAATATTAGTAATATTAAAAATAAATAACTTTCTAAATAATATTTAAAATATGAGTGATTTCTAAAAAAAAAATATGAAAAAACACATTTGTTAGAAAGTTGATTTGAAAACTTACAATCACAAAATACATATTTTTCTCTATGCAAATTTGAGTAAAGATCTTGAAAAACAATATTATGTAAATATAATTATTTAAAAACTTATTATAATAAATATAAAAAAGACTGATTTAATCAAATTTTAAGAGTAAAGAATAAATAAATCAAAACTATTTACATGTAATATAATGAGCTTAAATATGATTAGTTGATTTTTAAAATAATTGTTATATAATAAATTCTTATAAAAATGATAATTATCTAACTTTAAATAGATTGGTAGCTATAAATATGAATTGGTAAAGGTTATAATCAAAAAATTAAAGTTTGCTTTTTATTTATAAATTATTAAAGTAATTCATTTAATAAATAATAAGGTAATTTAAAAACTAACTAATAAATATTTAATTTATTCTAGTATTTTTATTATTAGAAAAATGAATATAAAGTAAAATATTAATACAAAAGATTTACCACAAAGATATAGTTCTTTTTACTAAGAAAAAATAGTTTAATATTATAAACTAGAAGACTAAAAAAGAGTTCTTTATAATTATAAAAAATATGATGTATCGATTATATCTAAAAAAGTAAAAATATTAAGTTTAAATTAAAATTAAAATTATTTAAAAAAGCTTTATATTGAAAATATTAATAGATTAATAGTAAATAATAAAAAATCTAAAATCAATAATAAATATTCACTTTTAAAATACAGGTTCTATTTTTACAGCTTAATATAATAAGAAAATAAAAAATATTAAGAAAGCTCTATAATAATTAATAAAATTTTTTGAGCTATTATAAAAAGTATAATATATAGAATGATTATTAGAAAAATTAAGATTTAGGAATTATTTAACAAAAATTTTAACTTTTATTACATTTTAATTTTTAATTAAAATATTATAAGATCTTAATTTTAATCAAAAATTCTTAAAACCTGATTTTATTTTCTATATCATTATTACTTGTATAAAACTGATATAAATCTAAAATATATTAAGTATTAGAAAGGATTTTGAAAGAAAATCTTAAGATAATACATATATATTATAATATGATATTATTTATTTTAAACCTAAATTTTAAGAATTGAAGTCTGCATATCATAAAGTATATACAGAATTTAATGAAGTAAAATTAAGTAAGTTTGATTTTTTATTCATTTTATTTATTCTTAATTACTTTTTTATATATTGTATTCTTTAGAGTTAATTTCTTTTAATAAGAAAATTAAATTAATATAAAAGTATTATATATATAAAACAGTAAGTATATAATATAAAACCTATTTTTAATTTTAAAAAATTTAGAAAATGCTTAAGAAAACTAAATTATCTTTAAAAGATTTTTTAACAATTAGTAATTAAAACTAATTTATAAGCTAAAAATAATATGACTAATGAAAAAATAAGATAAAATTATTTTATTTTTATTATTTTTAGTAAAACTTAATAATAAATTTATTAATAAAGTTAAGATAGAAGTTGAACTTTTACTAAGTTTATGTAAAATATCTTCATTAATAATAGAAATCTTAACTAGAACAGATTTAATAATAAAATGTAAAATAATTATAAAACATAAATCTTAATATGTAGAATTATATATAATAATAGTGAGAAAGTTTTTAATAGAAAATACAAGTATCAGATATTTTTATAAGTATTTTTATTAGTAATTAACTGACTATTTATATAATCTTCCAATAGGTTAAAAAATTAATTCTCAATATAAATGATTTCATAATATTTATAAATCATATCAAAATGCTATAATAATTATATATGAAATTTCTTATTTTATTATAATATTCTTAAAAACTTTACTAGTAAAGATAGTTTTTATAATTATTTTCAAATTTTAATTAAGTTACAATTTAATTATGCTATAAGAAATTTAATTATGTTATAAGTTATAACTCAATTGTATTATTTTTTTTTAATTATATTACCTATCTTTATTTGTCAGAAATGTTATTTATTCTATTTAATAATTTTAATTAAGAAAATGTATTAATAATAAAAAAGGTATTAATTTAAATATTATTATATAAGATGTATACTTATTTTTTTATTTATAAAGAATAAAAGCAAATGTTTGTTAATTTAATATTGATATAAGAAATTCATGATAAATGAGTTGATCATTTTTTAATTTACAGTTATGATAATAAAATTAAATAATATTAGATTGATTAAAATATAAAAAATATAAAACTATCAATTTAAAAAAAATCTTTTTATTTGATTAAAAGTTATATAAATATTCTTAAATATTTAATGAATATATTTAAAGTAAATACTATATAAAGATATAAAGACACAAGTATTAATAATATATATGAACTATTCTAAATAACTTTATATATAACAAACTATCACTTATCATTTCAAATCTAGAGATTCTTTTAAATTATAAAAGCAAATTTTATATATTATTTTGATTATTAAACCTTATATATACAGTATCTTTAAATCAATTTTTTAACTTATTTTTTCATGAGATGTTTAGACATAATAAGATATTGACAAGCTAAAATTTATAAAATTAATTTAATATTATAATTAATTTTTTAAGGCTAGTTTTAAATGCATTTTATAGTTATACAAAAATTTAAATATTTTAAAGATTTAGAAACCAAATATCTTACTAATTTATTAAATAATATTATATTATTAGTTATAAATTTTTATTATATTATTTTTATAACAGAAATTGATAAACATATATAAAATATAAATGCAAATATTATAATAAGTAGCTGTTGACATTTTAAGTAATAATTTTTATTAGATTAGTATTAATCATCTTATTCACAATTTTTTACAGATTCTCTCTATATTTTATGAAAAACTTTACTGTTCACTTCGATAATAAATATATAATTTAATATAATAGAATAAATTATTTAAGAAATATAAATAGTTAATTAAATGTGTATAATAATTCTTTTATAAATATATTTACTAAAAATTATAATATCAAATATTTAGTAAAATATTTAAATATCTTGAAAAACTTATTGCAACTTTCCTTTTAAATTTTTTTACAGATATCTATTAGAATTTTGGTAAATTAAAAATTATTTTATCTAACACATATTTGAAACCCAAAAAATATATTTGAAGCTTAGATTATCATAACAATAACTTGAAATACAACACATATTCTACAATAAGATAAAAGCTATGATTTAGATAAATGTATAGATTCTAGTGAAATAGGTTATATTCTGATTTATAAATATGCTTATTATTACAAATGATTTTTATTCAAATTAAAGTGCTAATGCTAATATTATATTGATTATTTCATAAGCAGAATTAAAACAAATTGTAAAGTATTTTAGAGAATTCTGAATTCATCAAGTATGATGTGAGTACAGATAGAATGGATTTTACTGATGATATTAATAATATTAGTGATAAATACTTTTTAGATAAAATATAGATCATAATAATATAGATCAACTTTTTGAGAAGACTATATATACTTTAACAAGTATATAATTTGAAAAAGATTTTACTACAGATTATATATAAAAGGATTGATGAATTGAAATATAAATAATAAATAATAAAATCAATTTATTGAACATTTTTTAATTATTTATTTAAATATCTGTTTCATTTAGATTAAATTATCATTTATTATAACCATTTTATTAAACCGTCCCAGCGTCGCCCGTAGCCGGATTTATTTGTCGGGTCACATATACTTATTAGGGATGACATATAATAGTGACAATTAGCATTTTTCTATTTCTCTGTCCCTAGAATACTTAATAAATTGAAGAACGACGCGATGTGACAAATTTGCTAACCCCCTTAAACTAATCCTAATTCTACCCTAATCCTAATCCTAATCCTAATCCAAACCCTAACTATTATACTAACCCTAATAATAAATATCCGGCAAAATCCGGCTACCATTTTTTACGGGCGACGTTGTGTTCGTCGATTTGATATTAAAAATCATGTGATTTTTATCAACCAATAGAAATTTAAAAATGATCCGAAAGCCCGCTATGCGTTATTCAGAAAATCATGTGAGATCGAAGTAAGTTGTACTTCAGCCTATTGATTTTCAGAATAACCTTACCCCGCAGTGATTTTAAGGTGGACGTCACAGTGTTTTACAACATAAAATAATTACCTCGGATGGACAATCCCATAAATCGTTAATTTCCTTTAATAACTTAGCGTTTCTGGAAAAATTATTCTTCGTGAACAAAACTTTAGAGAACATTTAGTTCGGGATCGAACATTATCAATTAATATCGGTTCACGCGTTCCCGTTCTCGAGAACAATTTTTGGTTTTTAGTCTCTTATCTTATATATAGAGTTTTTAGAATTTCCCAAGAATTTCTATACGATCAAGACCGAACAAAAAAAGCCATCAAAACTATCTTACCCTTCCTTCACAGATGTTTTACTTCTTAAATTATTTTGTACATCATTATTTTGTACGTCATTGAAAATAAGAATATAAAAATTAAAAAGATTTGTTACTACGCCACACTTTGTATCGACGGATCGACATGATAAAAATGACGTTACATTAACCAGTTTTTTGTCCCGATCAAAAAAATAAACATAAAAAATTTTTTACCTTAAGCATGTTCAAAAAACCTTCATCAAACATTAAAAATTTTTCCTTATTAAGAAGTTCGGATCGTAGAAGATTTAAGGAAGAAATATTAAAAAAGTTTCCATCATTAGAATCATCACTTCATACCTTAACCGAATCCACAACAGATATAACAGAATCTCCAATAAATTCATTTTTTGTACCAGAGCATATTCAATCAGCTAAATTTGTTTCAAATGCGGGTACACATGGTGTAATTTACATAACTAACGAAAAGCAACCTATTTGGTTTAGGATAGATAAAGATAAAAAGGACATTTTGGTTCCATGTGGTAATCATATTTTCAACTAGTTGTTAAGCTAAACCGACAAAGGTTATTAATGAAATGGGAATGTTCTTTCAAATGTAGTTTATACCTTGTGGAAATTTCCGGATATGTTACCAAAAATACCAACTTTCACACCTGTAATTTCTAAACTGACAGGAGGAGCTAATTTAATGATTCCAGGTATTGCATTTCCTTCTGAAGGTTTGCCTGAAGTAAATGAAGGTGAACTTGTATCTATTGTGATCAGAGATTTAAAGTAAGCACTTGATTGAAATAATTTTTTTCTTTTATTAATTAATATTTAAAACTTTTTAATTGTTTTGACTCGTTTTAGCATACCAATGGCTGTAGGGACAATGAATATATCAACAAAATTACTTAAACCTGGATCAACTCGCAAGGGAGTTGCGGTTATTATATTTCATGTATTTGGTGATTATTTATGGAGTATGGGTGATCGATCTAGCCCACCTGAACTATCTGATGTTGAATTATGTCAAGAAGCTGTTGAGGCCGATACATCAGAATCGAAAGTTGCTGAAATATCTGAAGTGATGGTTGAAAATGATGAAAGTTTACATAAAGAATTATCAATTTCCGGTAATAAATCTCTTTTATTTCCTTTCGGCTAAAGTTAATAACTCATCTTTTAATTAAGTTCTTTGTGATTTAATGTAGAGGTGGATAGCTTACTAGAAGCTTCATTTTATCAAGCGTTATTGGAAAAATTAACACCTACCACTCCATTGCCGATGGCAACTTCACAATTTTACTCTGCATATATTTTGCCATGTCGTCCTGTTGGTACTGATAATGAAGTTGACATTAAAAAGTCAAGTTATAAAAAGGTACAACTGTTACTTAAATGTTGATCTTTTTCAATTTCAACCTTTTAATTAAAATTTTTCTTTTAATAGGTATCAAAATTCTTGAAAGCTATGGAAAAAAAGGGAGTTATCAAAATAAAAGAATCTAATCAAGATTTGATCCTTAATCACGTCAATTGGAAACATGAAAAGTAAGAAAATCTTGTTGACTACGGATTATGACAATTTGTAATTTTAATCTTGTTGGTTACAATCCTAGTTTAGATGCATTTCGACCTCACAAAACTATCGAAAGTGCTATAAATGAAGTTGAAACACAAGCGTCATCTTCAGTTTTGGGATCTATGCAAATTCAAGTTAAGGAAGTGTTTAAGCCGAAAGGTGCCATTATAGACTTATTTAAAGCTCAAGGGCAAAAGTAAGCTAAATTTCATAAAATAGATACATAATTATTTTTAATAACAAAATCTAACACAACTCCACTTTATAAGTATCGTTGAGGATACTACATATGAATATAAAGAAATTAAAACGATCATTTCGAACTACCTTAAATCTCATAATCTTTCCGATAAACAAAATCGAAGGTTCGTAATTCTATAAAGACCCAGAATTTTTTCTTTTGTTGAGTTTCCTTAACAAAACTATTTATTTCCTTTCAGATTGGTTATTCCCGACGAACAAATTCGAGAAGCTTTAGTAACTAAATCAGGAGAAAGAATTCCTGAAAAGTGGACAAGGGATGATTTAGTACAACAAATACAATTAAAAATGGAACCCTGTCATTATGTCATATTTCCTGATCATGATCCTGAATTGAGGTAATATTTTTTTTATAAAACAGAAAAAACGTTTTAAATTTAATTTAAATTTTTTAAAAAAAATTAAATAAATAGGAAAGGTTCACCAAAACGTATTCAAATATCAGAATTGAAACGTGTAGGAAATAAAGTTGTTACTACGATTTGTGGATTAGAAGCATATAGAATAAATCCTAATGATTTAATAGAACCTCTTAAAAAATTATGTGCAAGTAGTGTTGCAGGTGAGAATTTTTTTTAAAAAAAAGAATTTAGATATATTTGAAATAAAAGTATACAAATTAATATTTTTTGTAGTTAATCCAACACTTCAATCTTCACCAAAGAAACCTTTAATGGAAGTTATGATACAAGGGCCACAAACTAAACAAGTTAAAAATTATTTGATAAATACAAAAGGATGTCCTGAAAAATATATTGAAATTAAGTTGGTAGGAAAAAAGTAATAATATTATTGTAATACTTGAAATACTTTATTATTTATATATAATATACTATATATTTTTTTGATATATAATTAGATAATATATATCAAAAAAAAAAAAAAAAAAAAAAAAAAACTTTGAAATAAAGTTAGAAAATAAATTAATATTATATTTTATACAATGCAGAACCTCTATAATAGGAATTTTGCTATAATAAAAATGAAACAAATTTAAAATGCAAAAAAAAATTTATTATATATAAAATTGAAGATTTAATTTATAAAATAAATAAATCATAACCTATGCTTTAAGAATCTTGAATTAGAATTACAATATTTTCAATATTGATAAAGTTATATTAGATTAAATTTATTCAAAATTAATTATAAAAATTGAAATTTAAAAAAAAATGTAATAATAAATTTATAAGAATAATTTTTTATCATTCATATACAGTGGCCCACAAAAGAAACGCAAGTCCTAATTATTTAACTTTAAAAGCTTATAACTCATTAACTACAAATGCTAGAGTTATA